ATATCGATGTATATTCAGGCTGGTCGAAGCCCTCGATTGGCCGCCTCGAGCGAGTTATAAAACTCGCACGCACTGTACGCCTCTTACAATACATGTACGCATATTCACTGACTGACAGCCCAACAATTTGCCGGCTATTATCGGATAAAGCAAATAATGCCAAAAGCAATGACCGTCGGATACAGCCTTCGATTTCCCATGTGGAGCGTGGAGCCATTTCCCTCCGCGACCAATTACCACCGGGATTCCGTGTGCTTTTCAAAACTCACTGGCTGTATTCTTAAATTCAATGAACGTCAACGCCTCGAGCTGACAAGCAGAATGATAATGACAGAATGACGGAGATTCGTAGCCTAATTGCGCGAGTTCTGTCTGGCGCGGCGTATCGCGTGGAGTTTCCCCTCCATTCCTTGCATGCTTAGAAACATATTCGGATCGCGCAGTCGTCATAAATTATCGTAAAGCGTGACTACGCGTGCATTCACCCGTCATTCCCTCGCGGCTAAAATCCGTATGGTTGAGTCAAAGCGATTTTGCATCTCATGAATGTTCCTCCAAAGTCCAAACTGCACGCATCAAAAGCGATTTCATATCTAGAACAGCTTAGACTTTAAAAGAAAAAAACTTCAAGTCTCAGAATATCAAAAGATTCAAGCTTTAGTTGTGTTGATTAAAGAAATACAAAAACTTATGTCCTCGACATTATTCGATATCTGGTGTTAAAATTCTCGCTGATGTCGAGGGACCATATATACAACAGACAACATTACTCGTGAATACAATGGTGAAGAGAACTGTGAGAACTTGTGTCTGCGATATCTAATAGAATCCGCCGTTAATTCTCAACCCACGCATTGGCCGCACCTGCGGTGGAGGATATCCTACAAAGAGAAGCTAGAAACCGTGAGCAGGCAGGTTAGAGGATCGACTTTCTCGACCGACTGCCGCAACGCGCGAGCAATTACAGTTTTGTCGCGGCGGGAAGTAACCGAGAAGGGCGAAAACCGAGAGAGGAAAAACGGAGTGAGTAATGCGAGGGTACAGCGCTGTGCTGGTGAAATCAGATTGTTGCAGCACTCGGTGCGCACTCGAGCACCGCAAACGGGGTGCTTTTACTCGTTGCCTGGCTCCTTTATTTTTGCTGGATGGTGTAATAAAGTACGGGTGAGCGAGAGGGGGGCCTGCGGACCCCTAATCTGATATCTCGACGGAAGGGGAGCGAATATTAATGTTCGTTTGCCGCGAGCAAAGCCGATGCCGCCTCGCGAGCGCTTTTATGCGGCCAGCACCGGCCCACGGGGCCCCACATAATGCCCCGGCACCCTATAAAGCTAATGAGTCACGGCGAGTTCACGGAGGCCGTAGAGGTCCCGGCAAACAGGTGCCGCAGTAACTACCGGGATACTCGCGCGCAAGCAACGTTCATCATGTACGTTAATCTCAAACCTTTTATACCCCCACTGTTTGCATTGCAAAACGCTCGTGCGATCTCTATCAAACTTCCGTTGAATTTATTTCACCGCACCTAAAAGAGTACAAATCGCATAACGCTTATCACGGGAATATATCGCACAAGTGTGACGCGAACAGAAATTGTGCATTAACATGTGATATATCGGTTGATAACTGATATCGCGTACGTGCGGTAGCAATCCGCCTCGCTCTGAATTCAAGAATAATGGAATTCATAAAAGATCGCGGCACGAACTACCGTATATATCTTACATAAATCTTACCCGAAGGCTACGACATGCGATAAAGAGGGGCATAAGTTCCTTGACCGAGATACTATTCGTCTACCGACATTTCGCCGACCGTTAGTTATCGCTTGGGTATGAATTAGTGCGTCGCTTATTAGAGCTTATCGGCGTCTGTAGTCTTACGTAAGCTGGCGCGAATATCGCAGAAGGACGACCGCCTCGTGAATTTATAGAATTTATTAGTGTAATTTCAACAAAGGATTGAAAGAAGAATAGAATGATCTCAATTGAATACGTGATAAACAGAATATTACAGAAATTTTAGACAAATATTTTTTTTAATTTAGAGGATTTAGACGATTAAGACACTTAAAATCTAAAAAATGATCCATCAAAAGTATCATCGATATATATACAATTAATTTTTTTCACATTTTATTTTTTAACAATACAATTTTTTTCACTATTGTTCAGTTCAGCATGCAAGCATCATTGGTCCAGTGAAAAAACCTGTAGCATCTACCGACAGATGGAAGCACAAGGTCTGATGAACATCATTGCTTAAAATCTATACTAAATTTACAGGGTGAAAAAATGCATTATCTAGTTGCTCATTTCATCGCATTTATATCTTAACATTAATAAATAAATATTGTTATATCTTTCATGAATCAAAAATTAGTTCAAAAAAATACTCGCCAATCACTGAGTTATACGTAAGTTCTACTTATATAATAATCTAAAACGTGCAGCTCTAATCTAAGATTTATGCAAGAAAATTAAGTAGCTTATTTTTAGTCTAAATTATCTCAGCAATTAAAATTCATTATTATAATCGCAATTTCTATCTCTTTATATATTTTCAATGTATTCATTAATATTAATTAATATAAATAAAAAAATTAGCATATTTAATACCTTCAAACCATACCTACAAATATTTTGTCTAATAAAAATTAGTTAATAAAAAAATGATAATTGATTACAATTATTTTTCTCAAACTGCAGAAAATAGAAGAATTTTGTATAATTCTATTAGCAAAAGATCGAGTTGCACGACAGTAGTGCACATAAATTCCTCGATCTCTCATCGCCCATCCTCTTCCTCATAATCGCCACCGTCACCCCCACGCACATCTCTCTGAAACACGTTCTAGCTCGCGATCCACGCGCCCGCACTGCTCGAGCGCTCAAAGTCGAATGACGCTCACACCCCCACCACTTGCAAAAGCGACGCGCGCGGCACGTTCTTCCTCAGCCAATTCTCAGCAGTGGGGGCCAGACTGGTCCAATCAGCGTAGTTTTGTCGTACGCCGCGTCGAATCCCAGTCACGTGATTGGCGACGTGCCTCACCTTCTTCTTCTTCCTTCGTGTAGGTGAGTCGCGCGCGCGTTATCTCCTTTCGCGCTATCCTCGTCCGTTTCCCATCCCTTCTATCCCTGTTTCCGTCGTTCCGCATCGAGCCGGCGGTCTCCCTCTTTCTTCTCTTTGTCGGTTTCCTCGTGGGGTGCCGCCGTTCTGCTCTCTCGCGCGCGAGGACACGAGCCTGGATCCTCTCTGGAGGCGAACCTCGTCGCACCTACCGCACTTCTACGAACCTTCGGATTTACGTTATTCCTCACGCTACTAGCGGGATGCTGCGATCATGGATCGGGTCACGCAGATATCGTGGGAGTAATCACTATCTTTGCAATGTACTTTAGATGTATATATCAAATGGTATCACTTCTTAAAAAATAATTTTGAACATTTCGATGCGATGTAATTAAAGATTTCTCATCTTGTTACGAAAAATTATTAACAAAATCGATAAATGATGATTGATAAATGATAAATAAATTGATGTACTAAATTATAAACAGCATATTTTTTTTACCTTGGGCAAAGATAATACCAAGAAAAGGCAACGACATGAAACGAACGAATTGAATGTATAATATTACTTACAACATGGTGCTCGACGGAACGCGATGATATTTGCCGTACCATAGTCTACAAGAGCAACGCTTATCAGGCAGACATCGCAGTACATATTATTACGTTTGCGCAAAGACTAGTTATATCCGGTTTAATCATCCACCATATAATCGCAAGGCAAACACGAGACATTATTCACGCAAGAGTGTCTACCGTCTGTATAAGTTATTTCCTGCCATCCTACCTGCCTGCAAGAACAAAGACTTTTCACGGATCGTCCAATTGGTCTATCTGAGAAAGGAACAATCAATCAAGCATCGTAAACCTTTCGTGAAGCTTAAAACCCAGTTATGATCTAAAGTAATGGAAAGACAGGCATGAGGAATATTAAAGGACTGAGATATCATGATACGTCACAATATTTGCACGCAACCATCCGCGCGCCGTCCGAACAGTCAACAAAGTTAAGATCCGGCCGCGAGATCGATGCGGTCGTATTTCAGGCCGTGCGTATACCGTCACGTATGTGTGTGACGGCCGAGATAAATACGGAGCCGCGCATTTAATCGGTCGCGCCAAGTAGAAAGAGCAATTTCGAAAGGCGTACACATCGGGAGGGAGTACGAGGCACGTGCCGGAGCTGCGCGCGTGCGTCAGCTCGCGCCGTATTCCGCACACGGTGGCACTCGGCTATTTTTGAGGGACGTGATATAAGCTCCGATGACGTTCGCACGACCGGTCGCATACTCGCGTCCGCGTTGGAATTACCATCGCCGAGTGTATGCTAACGCGCCTCGCCGGGGCCAGCCGGTTCTAATGACCTTTGCAGACGCGAGACTAATCGCCGATCCGTGGAAATGTTCCGTCCTATTGTTTCTCGTTCTGTGGGTGCAGCGAGGAGTTATCTCGCGCGTGAACTTATGCAAACGTTGTCGCGGATGAATATACGGAGTTGGAATTGAAAGTCGCAACTCAAGGATTTGAGATTTATAGATTTGATGAATATGTAATTGATACCAGTAATAGCCAATGATACATATACTTGTGAAAGATCGTTAGATAATTATCATAATCTTTTTTTTTTTACTTTAATGGTTAACAATCATTAATAAAACAACCGAGCAAAGCCACCGTAGTCGCAAAAGAGCAAATCGAAAATTCCATCGGAAATCACCGACGTCAATCTCGCTGGCAAAGTCCGATCGATCCGCTCCGAATGTTCCGAAGGGGTTTGGGGGAGTCCCGAAGGGGGGTCCAAGCCGCACGCCATAGAGGGAACCAAAGTCCAGAGTGGGGGTCTTAAAGGCATCGGGTGCCGTCCGACTGTCGGAATTCGGATGGTAGGGGTAGTCAGGTTAAAGCGTCACGCGCTGGATTCCCCCACCCGTACGTTCGCCACTGAATGTCCCCTCCACCGAAAGCGCCGCCACTAGGCATTCCACCGGGTGCCACGCTCCGACCGCACGGTAGAAGACGTTTGCCGTTCATCGAGTTAGTCGAGCTCTGACACCAGTCACGAGCGGTCGCAACTTTGGCAGAGTTCAACTGAAGGAACGAGTAAAGAGTTCACACGTTCTTCATCACGTTTCCTTCGCCGGTTCATCGAATTCAACATTCGTATCGCGATTCCTTCAATTACTCCGTCGTCCGCAAAGGTCGGCGGACGAAGGGTACATCGAGAGCGCAGCAGATTGTTGGATTATCAGTGAAGTGATCGAAACTTCGTTTCGTGCTTCCCTATCGATCGGGATTATTCGACTTGGAAGTTCTCTGAATTTTGTGATACAGAAAATAAATAATGGTGACCGGAGTGGGTGCCACGATGCCGACGGGCGGTGTCACCGTCGGCGCTACTCCACCCGCGCAACACGTGCCTCAAGAGGCTGGTCAGCCTCCTGCGCAAACTACTCCGACGGCCACAACGACTACGAGAAGATCTGGAGAAAATCGACGGGTTAGTGTTAAAATCTAAGATTCTTCGTTATACTTCAACAGCGTGTTATTTTTTTCCGCAATCGAAGTATTAACCCGGAGCACAGCGATCGTTTTCTTTGAGAGAAAAAGATATAGTGACTGCTAACGCATTGCAAAATTAATGCTTTGGATATGACATTATTTTCTTTTTTCAAAATTGAGATGCTAGATAAATTAGCATATTTAAAACTTGAAGTAAAATCACATACAAATGACTAAGTCAACTATAGAAATAAAGTAAAATTAAAGAGTGTTATTTATTTCGTCCTCCGGATTTATTCTTCTTTAAGCACCGAATTCTAAAATAATATAAACGTTACTTATTCTTTCGCGCGACACTAATAAAAGCTATTATAGTGACATGCCGAAAACTTCAAATTTATTACGTGATCAACCGTCGCGTCACTGAACAATTAATTATTTCTTATTGTTAGTTGTCGAGTTACGATTTATACAAATATTACCAATTTACCAGTCATTTTTGACATTTAATTTTCTGATCTAATTTTCCTTTTCTGTCTTTCGCGAAAAAATTCTATGTATGACTTTAAAAATGACAAGTATGGAAATAAAAAAAAATCATTTTAAAGTGAAAATAAAAATGTGTCAAGTGCGAATTAAAACGAACATTTCTACCAATTTTAAATTTGTTATTTAAATACAAGAATTGTAATTATCTATTAAAAACTTGCAAATCATTATAATCCTCAATAGTCGATTTTATGTAGATAAATTTTTATAAGGACTTTCTTTTTAAAGTTTCGGTACGACACTTTACTGTTCCTGATATTCATAGACATACGTTTCTTAACTTCGTAATCAATCGATTATAATTTCATCGTATTTCTATTTATTAATTTTACCGATAATTTTTGTTCACAGAGCAATAAGCCCATCATGGAAAAAAGACGTCGAGCCCGTATTAACAACAGTTTGAACGATTTAAAAACTCTCGTTTTGGAATCTATGAAAAAAGACGTAAGTACCATTTTTTATCTACTTTTTGCATCGTATGTTTTATGAGATTGACACATACACATATCAAAATATAAAAAAATACTTTTTTAAATTCCTTAAAGAAAAATGAAAAAAAAATTTCTTGTTACAACTTAAATTTCTATAATTATTTTATGCCGGTCTTCTATCTTTCTTTCTATCTTCAATTTATATATATGTATATATTACCGATATATTGTCTGATTTATCTAATCATCCCTTTTATTTCTGTTTTTCTGTTACAGCCAGCAAGACATTCGAAGCTGGAGAAGGCTGACATTTTGGAGCTGACCGTGAAGCATTTGGAGACCTTACAACGACAGCAAGTCGCTATGGCTGCCGCAGCAGATCCGACCGTCCTCAACAAATTCCGTGCCGGTTACACGGAGTGCGCTGGCGAAGTTGGCAAATTTCCCGGTCTGGATGCTTCAGTGAGGAGACGTCTGATGGCACATTTGGCCTCGTGCCTGGGTCCAGTCGATGCCAGCAACTCCAACGGCCAAACGACGGCACCGACTCAACAGGCTGTCCAACCGGCGCCGCCGACGACGCAATTGCAAGTGCACATTCTGCCTCAGCTTGACGCCACGCCGCGCATTCAAGTCCAGCAATCAAATGGCATTTTCTTTACTAACGCCAACGGTACCGCCCTGCATCTATTACCGACCAGACTACCGAATGGTGACATCGCTCTGGTGCTTCCGGCGGGAGCGAAGGCGCCAGTCATGTCGTCACCGTCGTCGTCCCCGGCGCCAAGCTCACCGTTACCAACTCTGATCCCGATCCCTCAGAGGACCGCGAGCACCGCATCCGCATCGTCGACGAGTTCGTCCAACAGCTCGACGTCCACGTCGGCAGGAAGTCCAGTGGCGTTTGAGGCACCCCCGACGTCGTTCCGCGAGCAATCCACCGCGTACAGCCCAGCCAACAGCCACAGAGACGTCGCCACGTCTCCGGCAAACGGCTACACCAGCGAGTCGGAGCTCGATCCGCGTGTCTACACGAGCCCCCCTCTCCAGAAACCTCTCGCGCTGGTGATGAGGAAGAGCGTGTTGCCGCCGATCGAAGACAAGCCATGGAGACCGTGGTAAAAAAAAAACAATGAAAAAAAGTACGGACACGACATGTGCGTGATGAAGTGATATAAACTGATACGTGTCGATGGTAATCCGCGGCCGATCGACCGCGGCCGAAAAACGCGCCGATTCGACGTGCCGATTTACGCGCCGTGTAAAAAGAATTCCGCGGAACGGAAACATGTTCCTCATTTACGTAGATTGTTGTAGAGACGAGCGATCCGGTCCGTAGCAGGACATCGCCGTGAAATTTAGAGGATCGTTAAGAGACGCGAGTTTATTCTTCCAAGTGCGCGTGCACAGTCGGCCAGTAGCCAATGAGGCAGTGCCTTATTAAATAGTGCCTTGTAAATATATTGTTAAATCCCAGCTGAAAACGAGCGCAAATTGATTTTTCCCGAACATCCCGAGATATCGCGTCAGTCCTTGTCCTATTCCGCATCGCCCTATCCTTTTCCTTTTCCATCGATCCTGTCTGTACATAAGTTCATTATGAAAATGAATACTACATACGTGAATACTACATTATAAATACTATATAAAATATAGTATTCATTATATGAATACTATATTTTAAGTGCCTTACGCAACAAGAATCACTGAGGTCTTCCATTCTGTTTCTTGTACGTAAAACTCTATTGTACGCGACTTGTAGTATATCGTTGTAAGTACGAAGAATGTTTTTAATTGATTATGACTATTTAGACTTAGGATTATGTTAAGGATTCGAGCGTGTGAGGGTGTGAATGAGAGAATTGTACATATGAACGATAATCGCGAAAGAGATTTACGACGTTATTTATATTTATACGAATGCAAAAAAAGAGGTTACATTTATAATTCCTCTCTATTATGAGAATAGACAACCAACGCTTATCACTGCAAGAGCATCAAATAAATGTTGATCTCTTTCTCAATACAATTTCTATGTTGTTTATAAATCAATCAATTCCCTCAATCCATTTCCTGATTACATTGCAATAAGTACATTTTATACATTTATTCTCACTCTTGATTTATTTTCGATTTAATCTAACTGGATATAACTATAAAAAAAGAAATAATTTTAAAACAGCTTTTATAAAATATATGCAATACATAAACATTCAATTATAGTCTTTAATTCTAATGAAAAATACAAGATTTTGAAATACTTTCGCTCGGGAAACGCTCGCGCTCCCGCCAGCTTCGCGTATGTCCGATTCGTTGCACGTCCCGAGCGAGACTGAACAGCAGTTTGCAACGGCGAATTTCTCCGAGGTGCCGCCATCTAGTGAAGAAACGTGACGTTACACCTATAAGAACCGGTCTGCGACCATCTCTCATCCGACCAGGCCCAAAATTTCTCCCTTCTGCTGCCTTTACTTAAAGTACCAAATGGCCAGAACCTGCTGCCTTCTACTGGATTTCGTCGGAACACTGTCGGGCCCTTTATAAAACCCTAAAGGACCCGAATCCTTTTCTCATTTGATAATAAAGATTAGCAAATTATTTCTGTAACGCTGCACGATGCATGAATAAAGGGCGATATTTTATTCTCCTTTCGGCAAAATCTTTCAATCTTTTGTCGTGAAAACGGTTATTGGATTATTAATCCATCATTACACAAGAAATAATTGTTAATGTATTTATTAACAATTTTAATTTTTTAAATTTTATTTATTTTAAATCGATCGATTACATGAACTGCCGTCTCAAGAAATAAAATTGAAATACAGATTGTCGGACGTCTGCACCGAAATCTAATCTTCGAAGTGGATCCTAAGCAGAGATCGCGACAGTTGATTATCGCGCCGTATTCGCTTTCTCTCTCGCGACCGAATGTTAGTAATTTTCCAACGAGTAGTCGGCATTTATACCCCACGACTTAAAGTAGATAAGGCTGTCTCGGCGCGCGGACAGTTACGATGTATGTTTAAACATCGTGGCCGGCAGTCACGTGTACTTCACTCGCTCGTAAATCTGACTTTGTTATTTTCCAGCCGCTGTAAAAAAGTGCGGAACATATTTTGCAATTATCTAATCATTGATTTAGATTGTTCGTAAAGAAAGCGTCGCTGTAAGAAAAAAATGTTTAAAATATGTACTTTTTTTATTTAAAATCTTAGCTTTTATAATCAAGTAAAGTAATAAAAAAGGTACAAGAACGTACTTATAATATTTGCGCAAATTCTTGCCAGAGGTAAAGACTAAAGAATTTTCGAATGTTAAGAAACGTATGCAGACACAGTCGGGTTGTTGATCTCCGCGAAAACCGCGAAAGTCTAAATTACCATAATGTCCTCCTCTGCGGGCAATGGCATTCTTGGTATAGCAATTTGCGAGGTAGAAGCGGCGTGCAGGACCACGATGCCACACGCAAAACACGCCGAATGACAAATTGCATAGTACCCTTCTTTCTTTCACGGTACTCTCAGCGTAATTCGCCTACAAGGGGTGAATTACGCTGCGAGAAGATACCTTCGCCATTTCAAGCAAGTTTTTATGACTATAAAAACATCGTGTTCGCTATTAATAATTTAAAACAGATATTTTGTTCGAAGAAAGAAAAAATAAATTGCTCAACATTTTTAACCGAATAGTAATGTGTGCATTCAAGCATTGAAACTCAACGATTTATAATCGTTTGTTATTAATTAATATAGTTAAAAAAATTTATTATCTATATTTCATATCTCTTGATCGGTCACTTCCTTCCCCCGTCGCGACCTCGATCAATCACAAAATATCAAATCGCGATTTAACATACGCATTAGAATCGTATTTATCTGCAGGCCACTCATTCAGTTATCTTGTGGTTATGTAAACGCTCCAACAAACACGTCTCGCGAGATATCGTGCGAGTTGTCTGCGTATACTCTAATGGAAAGAAGAATTTGACCCCTACCGGGCAGAACGGCGCACGCGAGTCTCGCGACGATGAGCTCGTCTCGAGAAAAAATCTCGCCAGCCTATAAATGCCTTCCCATTTTCTTTTTTACTCCTTTGGCGGCGAGCTAGGCTTTAATGATCATTGAGATGACAATAGCCCCGAGAATTGTAGCCCGAAAAATTTAATTATGTCAAATTCGCTCTAATCTGCAACTAATTCCGTGTATTACGCGTTATTTGCGAGCCGCGTCAAAAACTACGTTCTCCTGCGAACCCGTCCGCAGACTGGTGCAACGGTCCCTCTTTTCGGCGAAAAAATTATCATAATGCGCTCATTAATCTCACGACGAAAGTCGCGAAACTGGATAGTCGGAGTTCCCTCTCGGGGAATTTCTTGTACGCGCCGGTCGTGAATCTTCGCGTCGGTCGGGCGTTATCTCCGCATTAGGAAATACCCGGCCGCTCGCTCGTCTGCATTTAACGGACTGTCACGCGCCGGCTGTGTACGTTAATACTCTACAATGAATGATCGAGTCGAGGCAAAAGCCTCCACGTGGCGTGGAATCATTATGACGATAATTCAAGTGTGTCGTAAAGGTTAATTATATATCGAACGTGAAAAAAATAAGGAAGTCGCATCATCTCGAACTCTTTGCAGCTTTGGTGTCTGCTATTTCTTTTTCCCGATAAGTGTGAATTCAAATATTTTGAGACTAACATAAGTGAAACATAATTAAGCGACAAATGCCATATCAGTTTTGTTAACATTCAATAGCGAAGAACAGACATGTAGATTATTATAGAGATATGTAGAGATGTTTATTACTATTAAAGCATCCGCGTTTGTTTCTTGGTAATACACGTAACGTAAAAGACTATTCAAATTTACAATTATAGCCACGTGATTATTCCCCGAGAAAGAGACAGCTGGACGCACTTTTAGTCATAATTCGAAACCTGATTCCGTCCGCCTCGTTGGAGACAGCTCGCCTCCTCCTCCTCCTCCTCTTCCGGAATGGTCCTCTCTAGGAATTCCCCAATCAGCTGATTCCTAGAAGCTCGCGGAGTGCATATTTGCTAGCCCGTCACTCCGGCTTGGCTCGACATACGGTCGCGGTCGCGCGGTTTCAAGGATACAGCAAGGTTGACACGCGCCGCCACTCACGGGCGACCAGTGAGGGGGATTTGCCTGATCTCGTTGGCGCTATCCACGTTGTTATCCGTTTGCGTTACAGCACCGCCCGATGATGTTGCCAAGCTCTAGCTGGCGAACTTTACGCCAGAATTTCGAGTGTCGGCTCGAAATCAGCAGACGCATCCTCGAGCGTATGACATCATCGCCGCGATATCTTCGCAGTGTCTTCGAGCACTTTGCATTTCAATCTTTCTCAGAAATATCGTTCCATACGTTAATAAATAACTATAAGGAAATATCTTTGTTATTGAAAATACGCAGCTGTCGACAAGAAAACGCACTTATTAGTTTGTTCCATCTCTCGTTTTCAAAGGACTCGAACTTTTTCCGACCTGCTGGGACCCTTACGATTCCTAAAGCGACGTTTCGGAAGCGCGGCTCCGTGTAATGGGGCGCGGGCCCTTTCGCAACAACCGAAAAAGAACGTTGGCATTTCTGGACGTTCCACGTGCCGGAGAACGCGCGGCACAGCGATCACGGTTTCTTCTTCGCTAAAATTACGTGATGACAGCTCGTGGCATATGGCCTGCGACTGGTCAAAATGACGTTTACTTTGACGTTTATTTCCGTTTAGAGCTTTTTTTTCTTGTGATTTTTTTTGTGCATAATAAAAATATCGTAAAAATTTATTGTCAGAAAAATTCAAAAATAGCATAAATAGCAATATCAGTTAATGTTATGTCTAACCTATGTTAATGTATTGTTTCTTGATGGTTTTGTATTTCGAGAATGCTAATACTACTTGGCTAGACGCTTACGCGAACATTTATTACAATGCCAGACGCTGAATAATCAACGATGAATTTCGACGAGGATTCGAATTTCCGGGATTGCCTGAAACAGATGTTGTTCGCAATGGGGAAATGACGACGCTGCTAATTTTCAGGCACGTCAGCGGTCTTGACCTATAAAACGCGAGAATGGTAATCTGAGAATCCTCGTTCATCGCTTCGCGATGCAATCTCGAAAGTATTTCCCACCCGCGGAATTACAAAGATGTATTTTCTGTAACAAGATGCGTTATTCATCTCGTAATGTCACGTATCCACCTATCAGTTTATCGAACCGTACGCGTTCGGGACTGCAACCTGAACACTATATCGTGTGATTCTTCGAACAACATCGGCGGATTACGACAACATGTGCACGAGGTGCGCATTCGTTTGTCCTCTTGTAATCTGGTGTCCGCGATATTAAACACGTCGAATAGCAATGCGATCTACGGCTAGTCATGCTCGATCATTGTTATCGCGAGCCTACCAGCGCGACACGATCGTCCGGTGCATCTTGTTCATCGCGTGTAATCTGAACATTTACATAGTCTCGAGTAACAAGCCGAGGCACATATCGAGTGTTTACTTTATCCTTTTTATTATAAGTATAATCATCGATATGCATCGGCAATTTCATCGAACAATGTACCGTTGTCTAAAAGAATTTGGAAGATTTTCTTAGTGTAGGAGGGAGAGAAATAAATTTACCCGAAGCGATACATTTCAATATTCCACCACAGAAAATATATGGTCTCATTGCAATCAAGTTACCAAGCGATCCTCGCTTTCTCATCCGCATCGCGCTACCCGCTGCCATTGACCATTAATCAACCTATTATCGCTGTGGCTGCCATATTATCAGAAATGAGCGCGTCGCGTAATTACGTATACACATCAACGCGATGCGATACACGCGGAGAGACGCCATCGGCCGCGCGCGCACCGCACACCGCGATTCACTCGCCTCGCGCTCGGCGAGGCACGTGAACGTGGACGCGGCGGTACCTTGTGTGACTCGATAAGGGCGTGATTCCATTCACGAGCACGGCAATTTGGGTTAATAACACAAGGCGGCGAAGCGCG